AGTATTTCCAGCAAGATTGGAGTGGGAATAATATCATAAGATGAAACACGTTTCTTTTCTTTTGGACTAGAGTTAATTTAAAGGGTTTAAGCAAAGGTCCACAATTCAGAAATCAGGAGCCTAATGCTAACCCTTCACCAAAGTCCCTCTAATGAGATGAAAAAAGGAGGTCATCAGACTTCACTACCATGCTGAAGTATTTTGCAGGTCGTTGGGTTAATGCATGAAAGCATGTGGAAGAAAGCCACTAAAGAATTATTGTTAGGGGCTCCCATAGGCATCATACTTACCCTCAACATAGAGGTTTGTGATTCATCACACAGATACGAACTTGCTACTCCCAGTCCCAACATGTCTGCTGCTTCATTACAAGATTGCTGGGGATATCAAATGGACACTGTATACTGCCATGGTGGCAATTTAAAATGCAATCCAACCTGGCCTTTGTATTTGGTTTATCCACCTTTGGTGTCCACTAGTCACCCAGACCTCACCTCTGGCTCCAAGAAGCTGTGGCATGCCCAGCAGCCCCTGGGAAGACTGGCTAAACCAGGTTGAGGGCAACTGACAGACCTCAAATCCATCGGTGAGTTAGGGAATGTCTATCTGAAGCATGTGAAGACTTTCCCCAGCAGAACAGGCAGATAAGAATAATTTGTTCCAACAGCGATGAAGGCAGCTGAAGCAGGCACTGTGGAGCCCTTAGAACTTGGTCAGACACTGAAGGCACCAAAGTCACCCACTGCAATTTGGACCATTACCAGTCATCTTGACTTTTGTCTTGCCCCTGGAATTCAATGACTGCAGAAGAAAAAGAAAAGCTGCTGACTTTGTGCAACTCTGTCTCACTTGAATCCAACTCATGGGCAAGTCAAAGCATCACCCTGTGATGTCGTTGGTCCTTTCTGAAAACAAAGGATGTGCTACAACAACAATTTCATTTGGCCTAAAATTCAAAGTCAGCTAAAAGAAACTGTATTGAGCACCTCTGATGCAAAGAGTGGACTTGAAGAATCATAAGACATGACCCCTGATCTCATGGAATACACAGTATAGCTGAGAAGACAAGATATAAATATTGGAAAAATGAAATGACCATAGATGTCAATGACTTGTGAAGACAAGGTGGTAGGATTAGAAGAATCTCCAGTGGGGGAGGAAGGAGCTCTTCCCTCTTGCCTTCCCCTTTACCCTTATGTCAAATGGGCCACTTGGCTAGAAAGTAACCAGGCTGTTCATTCTGCTGAATGAACTGGGTGTCACCAACCATAATCCTTCTGATGAAATGGAGGGCTGCCAGACCTTGCCATCTACCCTACTGCTGATCTTTAGGGTTCCTGGGACTTTCCCTATACCTTGGCAGCTAACTCTCTTATATGTGCTGTCTCCCTTAGGTAGAGTATGAGCTCCTTGAGAGCATGGACTAGTTTGCTTTTTTTTTCTATTTATATCCCCAGCACTTGGTGCAGTGCTTGGCACGTAGTAATTACTTAATAAATGCTTTTTCATTCATTCATTCATTCATTCATTCATTCATTCATTCATTCATTCATATGAGATTTCCTAAGAAAATAAATGATAAATCACCAGGTGAAATTGTATAGACATATCATTATAGGAACTCAGTATTTCAACTGTCAAGAGGAGAGGTAATTTCACATCATTGATAGAATGATGGATTTGGGGTCAGGAAAACCTGAGCTCAAATCAAAACTCAGAAGCTGACTGGCTATGTGATCCTGAGGCAGTCACTTAGCAAACCTGATCCTCAATTTCCTCATCAAAAAATGAGAATAGTCATATTTCACTGGGTTGTGTGGGGTTCGAATGAAATAATGTACAAAAAGCCCTTTGCATACTTAGGGGGCTACAAATCTTTTCTCTATGTACTGTATTAGCATTGCTGATTACATGAGTTGCTGCCACTGATGACTATCTTTGACAAATTGTGGAGAATAGTCATGCAGTCCTGGGACTATAGAAGAACTACTGATGTCTTGATTTTCCAAAAGGAGAAAAACCCCACCTTATGCAGATGACAGATAATAGCATTGATGGTGGTAAAGTGTAATTCCAGGCTAGATAATTAAGGAGATGCTTTATGGTTACTAAGCAAAATCACTGTGAGCCAGGGTGGATTTATTAGGCATGTCAGGCCACTAGTCAAAGTAATTATAACATATGTAATGTAACTGATAGAGACCTAGGGGGACCTAAAAAGTTTTGTGATAGTTATATGTTGAAATTAATTAAAAGAAATAGAATCACTAGGCAAGTTTACTTGCTTGTATTGGTGTTTAATTTTCCTTTCCATTTAATCTAAACATTTTAATTTTAACATTTTATTGATATCTTTCATTTTCATATCACTTTCATTTCCCACAATATCTCTTTCTCTAGCCTCTCCCAAGAAACCATCCCTTATAACAAAGTATAGTTTTTTTTCAGAAAAATGAACTAAAGCGAAAAAAAAGGTCTGACATTGCACGCAATATTTCACACTCATGGAAGTCCCTCACTTCCATAAAGAAGCAGGGGAAAAGGAGTTATTTTCATGTATCTTCTTTGAGGTTTATCTTAGTTAATGTTAAGTTCTTAATAAATATTTTAATATTAAAAAATAAAGTAAGTTGCAAAACTTGATGCCTCCATGCACACTGACCTTTAAATTGTAGATAAAATTGACGGAAATTTAATGGGCTTTGAAGATCAAAGGCTAAACTCATTTCCGTGGAATGGCTATGTGAAGGGCTCCTTTTTCCTTGCCCTCCCTCCCCATTGAATTTATTTATGAGTAGTCTGGACAGCAGAGATGAACTCTAACACCTGGGTGCCAGATGGGAAAGTCATACTGTATACATCACATGCCCCTGCTTGTCCACTTCCACCCTATCACAAGCCCATTGCCTGAAAGATGGCCAAAGGATTATGCTGCCTAATTTGCTGCTGTCATATCCTAAAATGCCCTCTCCGAAAATAATACCTACAGGAGAGTTGCCTTTCATCATACTTAGAGACTGGTAGTCTATTGGAGGCTAGTAGGCATGAATGAGCCACTGGGGCCCTCAAATACTTGGACATTCCCATGAAGAAAAGGGAAATCAGGGAACACATGTGAGTCCTGGCCTTTGCATTTCACAGAATGATAAGCATCCTGTATCTGCTGTGAAGAACAGCCAGTCCTTAACAGAAGATCCATTGGTTAGTGTTAAAACAGATGTTTCTTGAGCCCTCACATCTTAGGTGGCCATTTTCACAGGGTAGAAAAGAATAAACCTTCCTGTGTTTGCCAAAATAACCATGTGTAGTTCTTTGTTCTGTAAGTCTCTGGAACACACAAATAGATTTCCAAGCAGTGTGAACCTCCTATCTGACAGTCTGGACAAACTCTTGGTCTGCTGCACTTAACTCTGGATTCCCGAAATCTGGCAGTAGGGTTTCTGCAGCCAGAGATGGTCTATATCTCCTCTGAGGAGAGTATTTTGCAGCTAATGTAGACAAGGCATATATATAAGGGACATATACACTGAAGCAGATGACAGCGGCGATGGGTATTGCATCGACTGTCCAGGCAAGAATATAAGCATCCAAGAGTCTGCCTTCTAAGTAGAATGGTATAGTCACTGACCCAAAGCTGGAGTTCTCCAAGCTTGGCTGGGGAAAGGTCAAGATTAGGAGAGGCGGGGAACAATTGGTTGCTGGGACTGTGGCTTGAATGTTATTTTCTCTAGTGAACAGAGAAAGGCAGCGAAGTACAGTGGAAAGAGCATTGCATGTGGAAGTCAGAGGACCTGGGTTCAAATCCATCCTCTGACAATTTCTACCTATAAGACCTTTGGCAAGTCACTATTATCTCAAGGCTTCTGTTTCCTGATTGGTAAAAATGAAAACTAACATTTGCACTCAAGGAATAAGTGATCTACCACAGGTTTTAGACCTAGAGTCAGGAAGACCTGAGTTCAAATTCGACCTCAGACACTTACAAGCTGTGTGGCTTTGGACAAGTCACTTAACTACTATCTGCCTCAGTTTCCTCATTTGTAAAATGGGGATAATAATAGCACCTACTTCACAGGGTGGTTGTAAGGATCAAATGAGATATTATAAAACAATTAGCGCAGTTCCTGGCACATAGTGAGCGCTATATAAATGTCACACACACACATGCATGCACATGCACGCACACACACACACACACACACACACACACACTGAACTGGAGAAAGAAATGGCAAACCACTCCAGTATCTTTTCTAAGAAAACCCCAAATGGGGTCATGAAGAGTTGGACACAACTGAAATGATTGAACAACATATAAATGTCTGTTGATTTATATGTGCATATATATACATGTATATATATATACATGTATATATATGCATATGTGTGTATATATGTGTATATATGAATTTATGTATATATGTGTGTGTTTATATATATATACACACACTATTTATCACCTATATATAGATATTTATTTAGCACCTACTATATATGTGTGTGTATATATATACATACATATAGATACATATAAGTATACACATATATCATATTTATATATTACTAGCTGTCATTTCTATAGCACCTGCTATGTGTCAGGCACTATTATCTCATTGGATCCTCACATTAACCTTGGGAGATAGTTATTATCCCCATTTTATAGCTGAGGAAAGTGAGGTGGGCAGAAATGAAGTGACTTCCCTAAGGTCACATAGCTAAAAAGTATCTGAGGCCAGATTTGTACTCAGGTCTTCCAGACTTTGTAATCCACTGTGCTACCTAGCAGCCTACAGCTTTTGGGGGCTATGACCTCTCCAAGTCACCACTACATACAGGAATCATCAACCACCACCTAGAGCCTTGTTCCCTAGGATATGTTGGTCACACCCAGATACAGAAACCCAGAGCAAGGGTCACCAAAATAAATCCCCCAAGGCTGACCCTAAGTGACTAGGAAAGCATTAATTTTAAAATTTTGTTTCTTTCATTTCTCTAACTAGATACATCACGAAGGAAGACTGAGGAAAACAAGAAGTTGGAAAAAAAAGAGGGGGAGGAGGAGGACCTTAGGAAAGAGGCATTCCCCTCCCCACCCCCTGCCCTGTAAAGAGGGATATAATCAAAAGAGACAGAATTACCACCAGCAGGAAGGCAGTATGGTGTCGAGGAAAAAACTGGAGCTCTGGAGTCAAGAGATGTGAATCTGAGTCCCCCACTTCATCCTTACTGATTGTGTGACCCTGGGCAAATAAGTCATTTTTTGTCACTGAGCCTCCATTTTTTTGTTTTTTGTTTGTTTTTTTTTGTTTTTTTTTTTTGTTTGTTTGTTTTTCTTTATCTTCAAAATGGAGGTATGGCACCTGCCCTGTGAGCTTTGTTGGGAGAGTCAAGAAGACACTATTGCTGAGTTTGGAAACATCTTTGAAGTTGTCTTTCCAGGGCTGTTTGGAAAGACTTCTGGGAGGGAAGATGAACCATCTTTTTTGCTTGACTCAATGAGAAGTGTAGCCCGCATGGACTGGTGCATCTGATTTCTGAATGTCCATGATGCCCTTGCACCCTTACTTTGCAATCTTGCAAGTCCCGGTTGCATATGATGGGGGAGGTGGCATCAGGAGGTGAGGAGTAGTCTTTCTCCTGGCCCAGAACTAATGCACCTTTGCTCCCCCACCTTTTGCCAGTTATGTGGGGGAATTAACTCATTATGGTACCATTCATTCATGGTGGATCATTTCCTTCTGTTCCCTCTTCTATTTGGAAGACGTTCAGACTTGGGGGAAGAATCCGAGTCTATTCCCCACCTTGAGCAGTTTGGGTGGGTGTTCCCTTGCAAATTATTTGTTCCTCAGTTGCCTTCCAATACTGCTGTTACTTACTTGTGAACTTGTTCCTTACCCACCCCCTCCTTTGTATAAAAGAACTCTGTGGCCACCAAATCTTTGTTTTCTTGTTTAGTATAATTAAAGAGGGCAGGAGTAGAGATCTGGGACAAGGTTTTGATTTCTGCAGAAAGCCTGCAGATACATCCTGCCCTGGAGTAGTTGATATGATGAGTCAGAAGGGCAGGAGAAAGAATCCACTGATACTCAAAGGAGGCATACTCCCAGGCAATCACAAGTTTCCAAAAAACAGAAAGCCTATAAGGAGGGAGAGAATTTACATACATAGTAAACTCATGTAATGATATAAAAAGAATAATATAAAACATAAATACAGGCTGTTCCAAAAGTCTTAGTGCAGTTTTAAAATGTAAGAACTTCAGAAAGATGCTACTGTAGCATTTGAAAGTTTAATCAAATTATTTTAATTTCTTTTGTACTTAGTTTTGTAAATTTTGACTAATATGGTTTTAATTTTAATCTTAACAAGAAGGGGCACCCTGTCATTTTGTAGTACGTGTGTGACAGTTTCTGGATGACACTTCCTTAGGCCAGTGGCATCAGTAGAGGAAGGCCCCTTGCTTGGCCACCTCGGTCATCTGATCTCTCTCCATAAGGCTTTTTCTTGTGAGGTCACGTCAAACCTGTCACATATGCATGAGAAACCTCACTGTCTGGATGATCTTAAAGCTAGGAGCCCAAAAGCAATCCTTTCAGTCACTGAGCAGGAGCTAACAAAAAATCATACAAAGTTTGAACATTGACTAGAGGGATGTATAGCACAAGACAGCGCTTATATTAAACTGTAATAAGGAACATATCAATATTTTAAAATGTAAATAATTAGCCTTTCAAATCTTGGTTTTGTAAGTTTGTAGCATTTATACTTCTGAAGTTATTCAAGCTTAAAAGTAAGCTAAGACTTTGGGGATGCACTATAAAATGTATTATGTAACTATGCATAGTATCCATATGCGTGTGTGTGTGTGTGTGTGTGTGTGTGTGCGGTATCCCTTCCACATCGTGACTTTCCCCATCATAGTTTTGATATATTATGGGGTGGCATAAGTAATTAAATGGGAATTTGGGGGAGTTTTTCAGAAGCCACAGATGACACATGAAGGCCAGCAGATGGCACAGAAAAAGTTTAGAAACTCAGAAATGCATAAAACATATGTATAGTATTGTATGATATCAACATATTTTATCTTTTAATACCATAGTAATTCTGATTTTTCTGGTATGAAGGGAAGGCCAAAGAATTTTTACATGGTTTTACAGATTTTGGGGGCACTGAGCCCTTAAAACCCTTGATGTGGAAGAGATAATTATAATTAATATAAATATATTACACAGCATTATATATAACACATTAAAATCATTTATATAGGCAGATCTAGTTGAGAAAAGCCCTGGAGACAAAAGCAAGGGGCAGGATTAGCTTCCCAAGGGCATAATCCTGTCTAAGGAGCTGGGGCTCATACCTCTTCCACCTACCCCAAGAGCTATTGCTACCAGCCTTCCTCTGCCTATCACCTCTCACCCATGATGCAGTGGGGGAAACATTCCCTTAAAGGGAACCATAATTCCCCATTACAATCTAACAGAGTGAATAATGTTTACATTTCCTACCACACAGAAGCTGTTGAGAATATTCTTTTTAAATATTAAAACCTTAGGTGAAATACTACCATCATCATCGAAATGTGTTTATTAATTAACTATGAGAGGGCCTGATAAACATCATACAGTTAAACAGACATAATCCTCTCAATAAAGAAAGCATTGATGTAGGCAGATGAAGCTTGTATCAATGGATAAAATAAGTGGCATATTAACATTATGTCGGGGAGTGGTGAGTGAAGCAGGACATTAGAGTTGCATATTTAGACATGGTGGAGCCAGGGAGAACTTAATTCCTCTGATTCAACAATAAAACCTTCCAGCCTAAAAGCCCAAGAACTTGAGAAACTGAGGAGACAGCTGACAGTTAATATAGAGTGTTCCTTCCCTGACACATAACCATACCCAAGGCCGAGGAGTGCCCTTCAGCAAGGCAATTTTACACTCTTGTTTATAGACAAAATGAATGTTTGTTTTTTCTAACAAATGAACCAAGAAATAGTAATGCATTTGATGATCATAACAGCATGGAGAACGATTGTGGTGTGAAAGGAAGTGACTGATAGCCATAGATACCTCTGCAGTCAATCCAAAAGCCTCCTTCCTCTCCAGTAACATAATACCAAACAGAGCTGGTTACAGGATGTCATCCCAACTGGCCCGGAAGCGAGCTTCCAGCCTCCCTGTGTGTAGATTTGCAGTCTGATGGGATCTGCACACACACTAGACCCTGGAAACATTTAAATTGAGCAATTCAGAATTTCAATTAATCTTCTACCTTCTTGAAGCATTATCATGAGGGGAGGAGAAGTTCCCTTTTACTGTTTCCTTCCAGCTTGAGTAAAGCTGCTGTGATGTATGAGTCTCAATCACCCTCTATCTCCACACAGTATCATGTCTCAAGTAAGAACTCCAGGGCTGGCCTTCAGCAACATGGGCAGAGGAGGCAGTTACCTGCAGGGCCTGGTTGGAAGACTACAGAGAAGGCCTTAAAATGGCTCCTCCATTAACCTATAAGTGATGCTTGAAATGCTAACCTTAGAGTCTCTTTCCTTTGGTTAAAACAATCTGGTCCTGATAAAACACAAATGCCTCTGGGAAGTATAAGGATGTCATGTTATTGACACCGTATCATTTTTTGTGTAGTAAATTCTCCCCCAGAGGACAGCTAGCTGGGAGCAAATCTCTGTAAAACGAGAAAACTGATGGGTAAATTTTGTTGGGGAGCAGGGAGAGGGAGATCCAGATTGAAAGTTAAAGCACAGCCAGGAGAGGGCAGGCTCCTGTAGTGAGGCAGCATGGGAGCACTGGACCTAGCAGTATCCTTGTAAATGTTTAACAATTGCCTCTCTGGGGGAAAAAAAGAAAGAAAAATGTAAACAGGGCAAACTTTTGAGTTTAATCTGCATTATTGACATTTTCTTCATTATTTTCTTAAGTCTAGACAATCAATAAACAAAACTTTTTTTTCTCCCAATTTCCGGGGTATAAATGCTCATCCTGAAAATTTAACAATCAGCTCTTGGGCGTGCTTCAGCACATCCCTGGACTAGACCTTTGGGTGAAGAGGTGGTACCCTGATTGTAGAGAGGTGCGTTGTTGTGCAGAGGGAAGAGAGATGGATCTTGGTCTGAATCTTGGCTCTGCTACTTCCTAATGTTTAACCTCTCTGTGCCTTCTTCCTCTGTAAAAATGAGTGTATTGGACTAGATCACCACTGAAGTCTCTTCCAGCTCAGCATCTGTGGACTAGTGAATGGAGGTGTTGGGGCTATAGGATACTAATGGTACCTGTTTCATCATGGTACCACTCCATTACCAGAGCCAATCCTAAGCAGCAATGAGTTGGTACCAGGAATTCAGCTACTATATAATGGAATCACTCCTCTTCCTGAGTTCAAATCTGGCCTGAGACAATTACTAGTTATGTGACTCTGGACAAATCACTTACCCCTGTTTACCTCAGTTTCCTCATCTGTAAAATGTTCAATGTTTTTGCCTAAGAAAACCCCAAATGGGATCATGAATATTAGAACACAACTGAAAATGACTGAACAACAGCCATGTAACAACACCAGACTCTCAGACAGAGCCAGTCAGTCATTTGAGTTACTTCACATTGAAGCCAATGGCAGAGTCAAGCTGATCAATGGGCCTTGACTTTTGGGAAGGTAGCTGTTGAAAGTAGAATTCTCTACTGATCCACATGGTCAGGAAAGGTAGCTTGGTAAGTGCAACCTCTCAAGGCCCTCAGGCAACTCTAAGCTCCTGAATATCGTTTACCTGTGTTGGGAAAGGGAGTTTACTCACTAGTAGGACCAGAAAGGGCAAAGTCAGAACCCTCAGGCTTTATAAAGATCTGGACCTGGTGAAGGATTCCTACACCGTGCCATGAGCTCCTCATTGTGGATACTTCATAAACACTTGTTGACAGTATACAAACAGCCCCAAGGAACAATTATTAATGAACTATTCATTCTGGCAGCTGGATACCTAAACATCTATTATCTAGTGGTGATTGATATAACTGTTTACTCCAAAGTCCAATTAAAAGTTTCCATATTTGAACCTCTGGTTTTGTTTTGCCTAGCCAAATGAAATAGAAAAACATTACCAACTTTCTCCTCCCTCCAAATCTTCCCTTCTCCAAGAAAAAAAAACCTGGCTTTTGGTTGAAATAATAACAGTCAAGCCATTTGCAGTCCATATGTTTCCACCCAGGATTTGCAACCAAAATTTTAGCATTCATCACAAGAGTTATAAACAGCCTTGTGGAAATTTCCCCAGGAGTCTCCATGAATAGCAACACGGATGAATGGCAACCCTGGGCCTCAGCTGTTTTCATTTCTGTGTCAGGCTGTAGTGTCTCTCTCCTAACTAGAGGCCAAGAGAAATGGCTTTTTAGGCCTTCAAGTGAAGATATGATATAAGGCCCAAAGTTAGATAAAGTGAACCATGGGAAGACCCTTTCCTTCTAATGTTGGATTCTGTGATCAGAACAATCAGCAGATCAACCCCAGATGAATTGCCCAAAGGGATAACACCACTTGCGGTGGGTCCCTTTATACTATGGACCATTGGAGCTTGGAGTTCGGATGATACGTCTTTACCCTGATCCCTGTCCAGGGATGATTGGTCACCAAAAGAGCCAGATGGAGCTCATAATATGCCCTGTCTTTATGGAACTATTCAGTCATGTCTGACTCTTTGTGACTCATCTGGGGTCTTCTTGGCAAAGATACTAGATTGGTTTGCCATTTCCTTCTCCAGCTTATTTTACAGATGAAGCAAAAGGGGTGACATGACTTGCCCAGGGTCACACAGTTAGGAAGCGTCCGAGGCTGGATTTGAACTCATGAAAAGGCGTCTTCCTGATTCCAAGCCCAGTGATCTATCCACGGCATCACCTAGCTGCCCCATTTCTGGA